GAGCCACGTAGGACAGATCTACGTGTCCTGCCTGACAGCAGCCTGAGGGTTAATCTACTTTACACTCACCTGGGGGGGAAGAAGTACAGCTGAGCTCTCGTATGACACCAGGACATCTCGAGCATGCAGCAGTGGCCATCCTTGGACCCTGGCTAACCTTTTGTCTCTGCAGAGACCCTCCTACGCTGGAATGACCTTCAACGCTCGTTTTAAACCTGTTTTAGGGAAATGGTGTGAGACACACAGAGGGCATACTCACTGAAGACACTGGCTCTTATTAACCCATTTTATGAGGAAGGAACTAGAAAATAAGCAAACTTGTGATGTTCGTTGTTCAGTTACGCTTACATGACACTTTCAGAAAATATTTAATAAACCTTCCCCAGAATTTGCCTGAATATTAAAGAATGAGTAAAGAATGACTTATCTGGAAACATACTGCATGTTGAAGTCAGATGTGACAGGGTTCCTGAGACCATGCTAGAGCATGCTGCCTTGCAGTAGGAATTAATCCATAAAATTCATTACACTTCTGCTGATGAAGCAGTGGTAACTTCTTCACAGTTTTTTTTTCACACAAAGAGGCAAAATTTTAAAGTGTCATTTTACACAGCGCTTGAAAAGCCTATTAAATTGCTTTTGAACTAATAATGCTTTTTCAGCTTATGACATTACTGATTTTTGCAGTATCGTAAAGATTTCTCTTGGCTCAAACAGGAACATGGTAACGAGTTGTCTTCGCCTTGAACAATGGAATTACGCATGATATAACAACCCGTATTATGGCAAAAAATACTTGCAGGTGATCTATATCTACCGGATGCTATTGTACTCTGGATCTCAGTCGCAGATGCTATTTCAGATATCACCTTTGAAACACCACCATACATTAAGAGAGAGCAAGCTGGTGAAAATTGTTGAGTTGGGAGAGGAGCACACAATAGCACCAAATATAAATAAAATTGTCACCAAACTTTGGAGCAAGCAAGTAAATAAATATAAAAACAAGGTTTGTAGGCGCTCCACTATAACCAAATTGCCCTTGTTTACTGTTGTAATAGTTCTCTCAACTTCAGTAACACCCTGCTGCTTCAAATTCACTTGCAAATCTGTCCATATTTTTCTGCCTCTGTCAAAACCAACTGCACAATTCCACACTGACCTCAGCAGGGCCAGGATTACATCCTCTTATATGAGGCATCACAGCAATACGAAGGGTGGATTTCATATCTTTAGGGTTTTGCGCTTGTTAATACACAATAATGAACACACACAGTATCGATACAAAGCCAGCGATTCTGTGACTTCAACTACAAATCAAATGCGATATTGCTAATCATTGCTCCGCTTATTTTTCAGATGTGCTGGCTGGAAAACACCCAGTAGTGTTCATACAAATGCATATATACATGTTTATATATAAACACATATATTTACTTTCTTTAGAATAAAAGCTGTTTGGAAAAAAAAAAATATTTTCTGTATCTTGCCTCCTAGAAACTATATGCTTAAAATAATAATAAGCCAGCTGGAAACATTGCTGGTCAGACAATAACTGAGTGGACTACTTCACAGTTTCTGCCAATATTAAGCTGATTAACATTAGTTATGATGGGTACTATAAAATATGTCAGGTCATATCAACACTTCAGGCGTTCAACCACGCGCACACGTATCTGTCAGTATTTGAAGTTTCGTGAAAACCATTATAATTTGCCACATTCCACCCAGTTTTATATCTAACAGTTTAAAATACTGGTTTATCGTGAAATAATTAACACTAAATGGCAAAGCCTCTATGACCGTAGTGCCTGCTAGCTCCTGCCAGCTGGGAGAGGGGCAGAAGGTGCACACTGCTGTTAATTTAGAAGGGAACGTGTGACACAACCTGACACGTCAAAGTGTGAAGAGGTTTTTTGCCACTTAAGTAAAAACATGTGTACTGACTGGTGAAACTGAAAAAAAAAAAAAAAAAAAAAAAAAAAAAAGAAGAGGGATTGGAGGTTATTTTATTTCTATATAATTAAATGCATAAGGAAAACAGAGCTATGGCCATTTCTAAATGCATTTATGAGCTTTTCCCCCTCCTCCTCCCTTCTTCCCTTGCTGTTCAGAGCTGTTGAGTAACAGACATTTCGGAGTGTGCAGGGGGGAAGTAAACAAATGCATCACTACTGTAGTTGCAGGGCAAGGAAACGTTGATGTCACTGCTGCTATAATCACATTAGTAGGGTGCGTTAACGGTAATGTCGTGTTTGATCAACTAGTCAGGTCAAAAGCCTTTCGAGACACAATCTGATGAGAGGCACAAACCCAAATGGCAAGAGGATTGACTTCCGAAGAGTTTCCTTCCCAATACAGACCCCTGCTGCAAAGGTGAGCTTTCGGTCACCAACACTCAATGTCAAATCATCCTGAACGACACGATGACACTTTACAGCTGGCTCGGTCCCCGTTCCCCCCTCCTTTAAACCCGAATTTGATTTTTCTCTGATCGCCCGCCGCGTACAGGCACCCGCACCCTGCGGCGTCCGAATCCATCCCCGCGAGGGACAGCGCGCGCAGCCAGAGTTTGCTCCTGTTCCTGTCAGCGTGTCTGTCAAGGACAGAAAAGCTTCCAGCCCGAGTGTTTAGGACCATTTTTCTTTCAGTAGGTCTTTTCCCTTTTAAACACAATGTGTTGCTGCCTCTCCGCTTTAGCACACGGTACTCGCTACAACCGAGCGGTAAGAGCAGAAACAGCCAACGACAAATTCTTTCAGGTGGGAAAAAGGCTGGGCAGGATACGTCCTCTGTGGCGTCCCAGCGCGCTTGGCACACTGATGTCCACCAACTGCGTACTTTTTAATCAACATTTTCTGACATTTGCCCGGCTTCGGGCATGTGTTTCACCCTCGAGCGGAGAGCGGCCGGCAGCAGCTGCAGCGTTGGTGAGACCAGACAAGGACCGCTGCCATCCAGAACTTCCCATGCACATTTTTCCGTCATCTCCCCCACTTCTTTCCACCCTGGGAAGGAGAAACTCATCCCGCATCGCATCCCCCCTCCCCGAAGTCTGCCCGCTGCTGCCCGCCGGATACCCGGCAGCTTCCCCTTCATTTTCCCCGACTTCCCCGATTTGACCCCCCACCCCCCGGACTGACAAACCGTTGGCTTTCCACCCACCCCCCCACCTCCGCATCCCCTGGGCTCACCTTTTCGGTCTGGCTGGCGGTGCAGCCACCGCCTGCATACCAATGTGGGGCCGCAAAGGCAGCGCGGAGACCGCCCCGCCCGGCCCCGGCCCCGGCCCCGGCGGCTCCCGCGGGCGCGCAGCCTTCCGCGCGTTGTCACCTCGATAAATGTAAAGGGGCTGATGGAGGTGGGGGGGGGGGGGGGGGGACGACGACACACGGGACACACACGACACGACGGACGGACAGGCACAATTCACCCCGGCCAGCAGGACGGGATCCTGCTTGTCCCCCGGGGAGACCCACGCGTGGGCGCAGCAGGCACTCAGGCACGCACACCTAGCGCCGTGTGTGTCTGCGTGTGTGTGCGCGCCTCTGCCACATCCGTGTGCGAGTGTGTGTGTGTGTGTGTGTGTGTGTGAGTGCGTGTGCGTGCGAGGGGAGCGGAGCGGGGCGGGAGGGAGGGAGGGAGGGAAGGAGGGAGGCAGCCCCGCCGCACCCGCGCATCCCCCGCGCCGCGGAGCGCGGAGACTCACCGGGTCACCCTGGTCTCTGAAGGTCAAGCTCAGGTCGGTTTCTTGATTGCTGTTGTCCTCCGGGCGCTTTCGGCTCGGCTCTTCCCCCTCTTTCTATTTTTTTTTTTTTTTTTTTTTTTTTTTCGTTTTTTTCCTCTTTTTTCTCCTTCCCCTGCTCCGGCCGCGGTGGCGGCGGCTGCCTCCCGGCGGGGCTCCCGCTCCCGCTGCCGGCCCCGCGGGGTGAATCCCGGCTCCTTAAACCCCGGCCCCGCCGCGCCGCTCAGATCCCGTGGTCGCAATCCACATCGCGGCAGATGTACCACAGGATCACGTAGAGGATCAGCAGGATGGCGAAGATGAACAAAGCCACCAGGATAGCCTTGGTCACCGGAGAGATGAGGGACTGCATGTCACCCGCGGGCCGCCGCCGAGGACAGACGACTCGGGAACTACACGGGGCCACCGAGCGCGGACGGATCCCGCCGCCGCCGCCCCCGCCGCCGCCAGCGACCCGGCGGGCACCGGCGGCTGGCGCCGCGCCGGTGGCGGAGTGCCGGGGGCTGCCTCCCTCAGCGCCCCCGCTGCGGAGCTCCGGCGGGCGCGGCGGCTCCCGGGCGGGCGGGACGGGGCGGCGCGCACGGACACCCCGGTGCTGCGAACCTGCCGGCCATGGGCACCCGCGGCCCCCGCCGCGGCTTCAAACCCGCCCTGCGGCGGTGGTGGGGGGGGGGGGGGGGGGCGGCAAAGTTAAGCGCGGGGGCGACCCATGGGGGGACAGGTGTCAAGCGGCCGGCTGCCCTGCAGGTCTCCGACGAAAGCCATCCGCGGCGAAGGGAAAGTTTGCTCCCCGGGGGGGAGCGAGCGAAGGGGTTGGGGGGGGTGGGGGGGGGGGGGTTTGCAGGGGGAGCCGCCGGCAGCGCGGCCGCGGCAGACTGGGACGGCGCCGGCCGGCGCGTTCCGCCCAGCCGAGGTTTTCCCTCCCTTCCCCGCCGCTCGCCCCCACCTCCCTCCTTCCTTCCCTCCTCCTCCTCCTCCTCCGCCACCGCCTCCCGCGCTCCCGCCCGCCGCCGCCACGCCGCGCCGCGCCGCGCCACGCCACGCCGCGGGGAGCCCCCCGCCGCCCGGCTGCGTGCGGGGGCTGCGGGTGCGCGGTGGTGCCGAGGGCCGGGGTTCCCTTTCCCCGTCCGCCCTCTCCCACCGCTCTTGGCATCTCCGCCGTCCTCGCTGCCCGCCGGAGACCGGGTGCTGGGGATGGGGGCACAGGCTGGTCCCCTGTTCCCTAAGCAGAAAGTTCCCCCCTCCGCACCCACGATAAAATTAAAAATTATTATTTTTTTTATTATTATTATTCTGGCAGGTCGGGATAGGTCACGGCCTGCCAAGAATCCCCTTGTGGCCTTTGGTGCGCGCACCACGGGCCAGCTAGTGCAGAAATAGGACGGGAAGATGGAAATCGGATGAAAGACCCTCGCCTGCGTACTCAGCCCCTAACAGCAGCTCCGGCGCAGCTTTCGGCTCGCCCCAGAGCTCTGTAGCACCAGAGCTGCCCGTACAGCGTCGGATCACGCACGCGGCAGCCCTTGGCCGAGCCCACCTGAAGTTTGTCCCGGCACAGCGGGCCAGGATCAGGCCCCCCCCCCCCCGGGGAGGAACGAGGTGCCCCAAGACCAGCCCTGGCGCTGGGGGGGAAACCAGAGGTGCCGAGACTCTTGTCACACGTCACCCATGCAAGTGGGCAAGAGCACGCTCGGTGGGACACAGAGCCGCTTCTGGTGCGACGCGAGGAGTTGTGGCCTTGGATCCCTCGTGGGGACGCAGCCAGGTGCCTCTTCACAGAAGGTGCTCGCTGGATTTCAGTTCTGGGTGCAGCCATCTCAAAAAAATACAGAAACGCTGAAGGGAGTCGTGGAACCATGTAAGATAAGGCTGAAAAAAAAAAAAAAAAGTGCGATGTCATCCCCCCCGAGAAGGACAAGAGCAACTTCATCAAAAATGAGAAGGAACGGTTAAAACTTAAATACATATAAACTGGAAAAACGAAGGATAACCAAGTTTGAGAGGAAGAAGGTAAGATAACATTATGTAGGTATTCCAGGCATAAACACCCTGGAGGAAAAACTCTTATTAATGCTGAGCATGGGGATTTAAGAAAGGGCAATGGAAAGAAAACGTGAAAGAGAAATGCTAGGCTGTTAAATAAGGAGACTTCTGACAGAGCGAAATGTTTAAATGGTATGACATAATATCCCAGGTGAATGTGTTACAGCACACATTGCTTGACTTTTTGGAAAACCTCAGCTTTTTCGTGCAGGAGGAACGGTCAGCTCTTTAGGGATACCCACTGTGCTGCCTTTGGCTCTAGCGTTTTAGTTCCTCATCTGCAGTATGCAGATGGCTATGTTTCCTTTCTTTTCCTTTGGGTGTGACCACCTTATACTGTGAGGTTTTCACTGAGCACTTTTTGGCTTTTGAAGTAATTATATCTTGGCCAGAGCTGTAACGCTACCGGGGTCCGAGTACCAAGTTCATAAAGAGCAGCTTGGACTCCAAACAACAACTTTGCTCGGTAGTTTATCCTCCCCATTTCAAAGGAGGGCTAGATTCTGGAGGCAGCTGGTTAGGTGCTTACGTCAGATTCTTTAAGACGTCAAAAACATCATAATGTTTCTAATCCTCTTGCTGGACATTAGTATTTCCTTCGTAGGAAGGTGTAATTTCACATAGACTAGTTGTGACTAGCTGATTCTCGCACTCGAGCGTTCGTGCGTTGCCATCCGCCTTCCTTGGCTTGTCAGCTCTCAAAAAAGTGACACCAAACCTAGCAGTGTCAGGCACAGCGGTAGCAATGGCATGCCGCTGCACCGAGTGATGGCTGATACCTCCCTACTTGTCAGCGTGAGAAGCAAAATAGTGCACCATCATTTCTGAGCCCGAAATGTGACCGATTGTGTAACGCGTGCAATCTGTTCTGAACAGGTTTTGAATTCTGCTTGTTTGATTTGCATGTACTTATGCACAAGGGCATCCCTGAGTAATTAAAAATATATAGCCTCTCCGTGTTTGATGTTCTGTCACTGGCAGAGTCTGAGCCAACACAGAAATCACAAGTTAAAAAGCAAATATATTGCCAAAGCTGTCCTTAGTTGAGAAAGCTGATTTAAACAAGGAAGTAAACATAAAAACCATCTTAGTTTTCAGATGTCTTATTAGTAAGCAGTGGGGAAGAAGGAAATCGATCTTTGCCAAGTGAAGAGAGATAACAGTGACAGAAAAATCATTTTAATTTCCACCTTGTAAGCTGATATTAAATTAAACAGGAATACTAATACATGTAGCTTTTGGTTCTCCCTTTCTCGATTCCCTTTGAAAATGTGCTGCAGCAAATGCGCATTTGCAAGGAAGAACACGCACAAAAGATGGGTGACAAGACCCACAATCACGGGCTAATGCAGGCAGCTTTAAGCACCCAAATTAAATCCCATGCGAATGTACCAAATGCTTATGCAACATAGATGGCACAGCGAGACTGGGCTGGTTCTTTTTAAGTTCACAGGCAACCTTAGCCAACACGAAGCTACCACTGCTTCCCGTCGGCTCTCCTGCTAGGGTGTTTATTCAGAAATGGCTAGAACCCCTTGGAAAGACAGGGTGGGGTTTATGTTCCAGTTTATGTCACCACAAATTCCACTAATGGGGACAAATCCTGCCAACTCACAGCACACCCCTGGTCTGGGAGAGGATCCGAAGCCGCCGAATCCCCAGGAGTGGGCTGCAGCGTTGGAGAAGGGAAACGACCAGTGGTCTGTGGTGGTGGGTAAGGCTTGTGCCAACAGAGTTGGCTGCTTGGAGAAGTCGTAGCTATTAATCCTCTCTCACTGTAAACCTGAGACCAGCAGCAATGCAAACCCAAGGTATTTCCCTCTTTCAGTGAAGACAGGGGCAGATCGGGCAGAAGACCGGTGAGTTCAGGTTGTAATAATTAACATGTTTTAATTCCTTTACCAGTGAAAACATCCAGCCAGCCTAAGCCCTTATTTTTTGAGGGCAGTTGCTTTTGCGTGTAAAGTCGAGGGTGTCAGTGAAAGGCTTGTGATTGACCCTGGTGTTAGCTGGAGGTGATTCCTGTCCAGAGTCAAACACGGACCGATCATTTCTAAACATGATCTTTCGTTGCATGTCCATTTTTCAGTGGTTTCGTGGGAATTTTAGATGCAAAAAAAAAAGTGTAAGGAGATATATTCTGGTTTATCAGAAAGATTTGGAGATGTACAGAGCAATTCCCTGGGGAACGAGTGTCAGAAGCATGTCTAAGATGCCCAGTGAATTCACGTGACCAACTGTTCCTGGAATATGTCTGCACTAAAGAGGGCCACGTGGGTTAAAAATACTAAAGGCACTTGTCAACCAGCTAGCTTTAGTATGGCGATTTGTCCAGCATTGCTGCATGGTGCTCAGTGCATATTAATTTAGCCCAACTCTCAGTCTATTGTCTTAAAAATAGATACGTTCGGTGTTTTTTTGCTGTAGAAGTTTTGTCACTGACTTCAAACAACCCATAATTTTACTTGATTACAGGAAAGTACAATGAAATTAGTGAAAACTGGAGTCTAATCTAATAAAAGAGTGCTCGACCATGAGCAGAGTCATAGGAAAATATGTTGTTTAAGGGACTGATGATGTGCTTCAGATCTTTCCACCTCTGGAGCATCTTTCAATTCATTTCCAAACCAGAAGTGACCTCAAGTTGATGGACCAACTACCTGGCAGCTGACTCTGTAGCTTTAGTAATTTTCTGAGAGGATGTATGTCTGTATCATAAAAACACTGATGCAAGTGGCACTAATTAAATTGGAGAAATCCATAGATTACATGTCAGGCCTCAAATACTGCTTTTTAGGCCAAAATGTGCTGCTGCCGAGACAGTATCTGTTCTGTGAATTAGAAGAGAGTTATCAGTCATCTCATGTTTCACGATGACGGGCACAGCATAAAAGCCTGGGCAGACACAGACACGCAGCATGAAGAGCAATCAAACAAACAAAACAAATCTCACCCTCAAAGAGGGAGCCAGAAAACAAGCTCTGAGTTATCAGTGATGTTAATTAACAGACCTCCCTCTGGTCAGCTATTTGGACGACCCGAAGACATGAGAAAACTCAAAATATAAGAGTTCATAATCCATCTGCTTTCTCAGAAGATGGAGCTCAATGTACAGGGGTGTAAAACTTTACAGTTTGGAAAGATTCACAACAAGGAGAGGTATTGAGCAATGGTCATTTATGGATGGGGAGAGGGGAAGCTTACTGGCTGGCCCCAGTAAAGAAGAGATTAAATGAGCCCTTGACACAACACAGCTTTGGAAAAAAAAAAAAAATATTCTTTATAGAATACTCAATAGTAGAAATGCAGGAAGAAGACAGGAGTTACATATTGTCATGCTGCATCACGTCAGTAATACCCTCCTGGGGTACTGGAGTTCCACTTTCCAGGTTAGAGCATTTGGGAAAAGAAAGGCAAGAAAAAGCAACTAAAATGACTCCAGGCTGTAGGAATGGATCTTTATCAAGTCGAAGCTTCAAATTAGGGCAGAAAATCAGGTAGCTCTACTTTCGCAGACTCTCTTGGAGCTGCAGACACAAGCTCTCCTGCCTTTCCATGGGAGATGCCAGAAGGGGATGGACAGTTCTGTTTGCCTTTGGGTTTACTCAGAGGCCTCCCAGGCATCACGTAGGGTATCTGGTTTGCTATGGCACGGGCAGTTACATTTGGGGTGGTGTTTGTGCTCTCCCCTCACACGCTTACTGCTGGGGCTGCCCTGTGCTGCTCCTGGTCCAGGCCCAACACCCCGTCCCAGAAAAAGAGGGAAGGTGGTTCACGTGGTGGTGCCTGATTTGGGAAATCTCAGTCCCACCCCTGCCTGTAGCACTGATTCACTATCCCAGTTTGGGTGATTTAGTTAATTATTCTGTCCAGGAGGAGTAGAAAGTGGATATGATTGCATTGCTGTATTGTTGCGAAGGTAATTCTGCTAAATACTGCGTGTTCTTGAATATCGGCCCTTTTTAGCTCTCAGCCACCGGTTACTGGAGCTCAGGGGGGAGGAACATGGAGTTTGACAGATACACTTCCCCGATGAGAAAAGTCAAGCTGTTTAGAGAATGAAGGTGCTCTTCAAATCGCCGCTTGGGCAAACCCTAGCTGCACTTTTGTTCTTCAGTTTTATCTACAGGAATTTCAAAACACGGAATAAACTCAGTGAGTTAAGGAAAAGGAGAGGCAAAGAAGGTATCTCTGGCCTAACTGTCCATCAACACTTTTGATATTTGTCTTTTAGATCAGAGGACAGAGGAGAGCTTGTGTTAGGCACATGTCCATCCAAAGAGGTAGTTAGTATGCCTCATCTATGTTTCCATCAGATTTCAGAGGAGAATTATTTTCATGCCTTCTCCTTCCTACCTCGTACAAAGGTGAAGAAGTCTATAAATAAATATTTTTGTTTGACTCTTTTCAGATGTGCTAAACCAGTCTTACCCGTTAGTGCTGGAGGAGAGAACTAAGCCAATTAAATAGATATCACCCTTCCCAATTTAACTCATCCTACACGGTCCTACATGAGCATTCTACCGATACCTTGTGTTATGGATTTTTTAACTGCACTGAAGTATAAACTGTCCTTTTATACCACACTTTTGGAATGAAAAATCTCTACTAGGAACCAAAACCAGAGGCAGGCTATTTGCAAAAGATCTAGGAATTGCCCAACATCATAACGAGGAGTTCAGTGGCAGAGCTGGGGTGGAAGCTTTCTGTTCTTGTGTGCACCTTTAGAGAACCACTTCTGAGGTAAAGATTTGGATATTGGACATCAAAATAGAATCCGTTCAATTTAAAATCATTTTCTTTAGCCAGTGGCCACACAACAGGAC